CCAGTTTTAAATTCGATAATCAAAGCCTGATGTATGATAATAGTATTGTTGGGGTTTCCGACATCAGGACGCTCTTACTGTTAGAAATTTATAATAAATTATTATTTTTTCCCAAGGTTAATCTAACACTGACATTTTCTTCATAAAAAAACATACAAACTCCTTAAATAAGTATAGTGTTATTATATATAATTTATTTTACTTGAATTTAATAATCTCATTACTTTTGAAAGAGTTTCTTTATGTTTTTAAATACCATTTAATTGATTACTATTTTCAGGTAATCTTCTCCGCGATCGTTTCGAGTCTCTTCAGCGGCGCGGAGCGCTCGCCGCCTCCAAGCTGATGATGACGAAGAAGAAGAGAGTCAAGAGTTACTTCAAGCCTGGACACAAGGTCACCGACAGCGATGTACAGAAATATCTCCAGAAGATGGCCGAGAAGAGAGGAAAGAAGATGGTCGTCACGAAATGACAGAGATTTATTAAACAATAAAAAGTAAAATTATAAATGTGTTTTAATTACAAACCTTAAAGGATTTTGCATTTATTTATCAAAATTTTTATTAAAAGACGGTGTTCGGAAAAGATGTACAATGGACTACAACAGATTCCTTGATCGAAAATATGATTTGACCCAATTTTTATCTGAAATTGCTTTGTTCGGGCGCTAGAGGGTTCTCATGTTTGCTAATTATTTTACACATCTTTCCCAGACATCAGTGTAAACACACTCCTTAGGTATATAGGGTGTCAGCAATTACACCATATTTTTTATAATTCATTGTATACTATCATAACTAGATATTTTGATTCCGCGGAAAGTCGCGGGCAAAGCTACTCAGATGTTAGGGTTTTAGGAATTCCAATGGTTTAAATAAAAAAAATCACGATTTTATACAAAAATTTATTACAAATTCTTAATAAAACTTAATTATTAATTATATTACATCGTAAAGTAATTGGCAGTGTAACAATAAATTGTATACAAAAGACTAAATAGTAGGTAACTCGGAGATAAATTTATAATATATTTATTTATCTTAATAGTCGCTTAATTACAACAAATTATAATAAATTAACTTTAAAATGTACTTAATTGGGTAGATTTAAACAAATTACGGTACTTTCATAACTAAGTGAATTTATGCTTACGATACGCATATGATACGCAAGGAAAAACCTAAAATTTCTGCAAAAATTACTATTACTACTTTTGTAAATAATGTAACAAAGCCGCTCTGTAACTGTTATTTACGAATATTTGCATAATTTTTTTTTCAAATACTTACGCACAAATGCAACTTAATATTTTTTGTTTATTAACATCAGAGAGGCAATGTTATATTCTTTTAAACAACTTTGCTATTGTTCAGTTCTCGAATACTGTTTTTTTATATATAACTATATTTAAATATCTCGATTATAGGTTAAATTCTGCGTTTTTACATGTGTTTATGAAACATAAAATGCTATTTAAAAATGAGCAAAGACACTCATTATTTACTTAAATGTACGAATTCTTAACCACTAATTGTCCATCAAAAGCAAGAAATTAGAATAAACAACAATTCCTTAATTAATTTTCTTAACCTTCATTTATTTTTCTCTCTTCAACCCCATCTAGCGGCGATAGTGTAAAGCGATCTTAACAATTCTAAAGCTCTTGTATCCGACGTGCCTTTTCCATTTACAGGTTGTAATGCAACTCTAGCCTGTGCTGAAGGCGTGTTTGTTGGATAGTTAGCATTTTCTATTGTTTTTGTTGCAATCTTTTTGTTAATTTTAGGAACACCTACAGTTGTAGGAATCGCCGTCGTAGGTGTTTCCGTTTCATCAGTTTTAAAGCTTTCTGTCGTAGATTGCGATAAAGAATTGATAGCGCTGGCGTCGAACTTCAAACTTTTACCTCTTCTATCATTTTCAATGTTCTCTGGGTAACTATCCATTCGCCTTCTGAATAAAGTCGTTTTAACGTAATCATATTCAGGCGTTGTAGTCGGAGTCTCAGTCGCCGCTTGTTCTTTGGCCACTTCTTCCATATCTTTCTTAGAGACTGCCATTAAAGCCTCAAGCAATGCCTTCTTAGAGGCTTCAGCTGTGGAATTATGATCATCATCACATGTCTGGATCAACAATAAAATCAATCTCTTTACCGTTTTTGATTTCGTCTTCATCATAACGTTCATTAATTTTTCAGTAGTCGTCGCGTTCATTCCTCCCATAATTTCCTTTGCTTGTTCAACCACTGTATCTGTTGTTATTTCTTGAGGTGTGTTTGTCGTTGAATCTTTTAGTAGTCTACCATATCTTTCTTGTGTTCTACCGCTGAGCGTAGCTAGACCGATTGCAGTCGTTGAGGGTTCACTTGTTTCTGTATATTCAGGTTCCTGTGTTGTAACTGTGGTCAATGACCAAGAACTGGTCTGCTGTTCATGATCTGTCTCATTGTGATCAGCTCCTGTCAAGCTCAGACCGTCGTTTAGTGTTATAGGATCTAACATAATAGTGCTTTGCCAATTTTCATAAGTTGTTGGTAATTGGTATGTAGTCCTGTCGCTGTCAGGTGACGTGAATATGTTAGAGATCGAAGATATGGTAGGTAAGGATTCTGGCTGATCCTTTAATGTTGTTGTAGAGTCCGTAGTTGTTGGGAGTGTAGTAGTTTCTATACTAGATTGTGTAGGGGCCTCCAAGTTTTCAGATGGTTTTTTAACGTTTCCTTTTGTTTCGAAACTGAGTTGTTTCCCTTGTCTAACGTTGTTACTTTGTGGTGCAATGAATGATTGACTGTGAGCTCTTTGTAATTCTTCCTCGTTGTCCAATTCGAAATTTTCGGTTTCAGTGAAATATACAGGCGTGGTTTCAGGAAATACACCTGTATATCTAATTCTCTTACTTTCGAAAATATTGCCCTTTGTGGTGGGCGCTAAAGTTGCATCGATTCCCCAAGCCGAAGGTAACTTTGTTATTTCAGCGTAATCGTCAAATGATTCTGTGTTTTTTCCATTTTCCTGATATTTATTGTTTTGGAACCCTCCGAATCTTTGCATCCTATCATTGCCTTCTGTGGTAGAAACAATATTTTCTTCGAGTTTGTTTGATAATGTATTAATCTGAACTGCGGCAGTATTTGTAAAAGGGCTTGAGGTTGTGAAAGGTTCTTTGGAAGGTGCAGCAGTCG